TAATCTCCTAGGAGCCTTCCCTCACCCTCACCCCCAACCCATGCCCCTGAGGGTCAGGTGCCCCTGCTTGGTGCTCCCACAGTGCCCTGAGCTTATCTCCCTCATCACACCTGTTACACTGAATTGCGATCATCATCTGTTAATATGCTGTAAGCTCCGCTCCTGCTGGAGGGTAGGAATCCTGCCTTATTCATCCCCCCTCTCTGCCTCCATCTAGCACCTAGCACAATGCTTGCGTTATAGCAGACGGTCAGTTCAGTGCTGCTAGGGGTAGAACAGAACTTGTTTCCTCTGCCACCAAATCATTGCTCCTTCCAAAGAGCCAGGAGTATCCTTCTGTTAGGGCCAAGTTTCAGAATGAAGGCAGCTTGGGGATTGGTCAAGAAGAACCGCTTAAACATAGAGGAAGAAAGTTGAGTATAGCAGACTTACATGAAATCGAATCCAGTCTATTGTTCTGAGATTTACGAAAATGGGAAAAAAGAAAACTTGCTAAAAAGGAATGGTTCACAGTAGCCCTCTCTGTACAGTGAATCCTAAACCTTAAGAAGCCAAGGCACACACAATGGCCATGATGAACAAGAGTTCCTTTAACAACAGTTTCAACCTTGGAAATCCCACCCCAAAGAGATCCATAACCAGGTTTTTTATTAGTCCAACTTTCTCTCTTTCAGAGAAGGAGGCTGGTTCTGAAATCCCTTTCCTTTATCTCCATATTAAATAAAACAAACACAACCTGATCTACCTCATTCAGGCTTACACGTTATTTGTTTTAGCACTGGACTAAAGTTAAGAGTCTGCCCTGTCCTTACACCACTTTTTTTTAAAAACAGTACCACAAAAATCAAATAAATTATAGCCTAAATCCACACATGTAGTAAAACAGTCCTCTCATTTCTGAAAGAAATTTGAATGTTACATGAGCTTCAAAGTTGACGTTTCTACAGTACTGATCAGATGACAGGAGCCAACATCCAAGGATTGAGACAATTTTCTTTGCCCCACACCCCCAGGTCAATAATAGTAACAACAACATTACTTTGAAATCATACCAACCTGCTGAAAAAAAAAAAAAAGCCAGGGAATTTAAATAAAATCACCAAAACCAGCACTCTCCCTCCCCCCTCCTAAAAAAACCAAAAAACTTTGAGTCACTTCAACTTAACTAATTTAATTAATTGATTAAACGTGCCAAACCCAAGTTCCCTTGCAGAAGATAAAACAAACTGCTGGGAGGATCATTCACTCAAATTGTATTCAGAAGACAGTAAAAAGCAGCTGACCCAATCTCCTTTCATCAACTGTTTCCTTATTAGCCCAGCACCTCCAGGTTCGAAGGCAGTTAGAAGACTTATTCATATCAGCTGCACCTTTGACGTGCAGCTGAAAGGCCACCCACTCCCACCTTTGACACAGACGTATCGCGTGAGAGGAAACCTCCAGAGTTGCTGGAAGTCTCTCCCAAATGGAGCCCACAGAGATTCTTCCTGTCTGAGAGATAATGAGCTATACACCTTCGCTCTGGAGAGTTAGGGGAAAGAACAACAACAACAAAAGAGGCAGACGACCAGAAAGGAGGTTCTCAGAGAAGTATTCATCTACAGCACTGGGCAAGCTACTTCTAGTGGAGGTTGAACTTAAAGGATCTTCGTGGTTGTGTCAGCCCTCACTGCAACACCAAGGGTGCTTCTCCCTTCTCCCCAACATCACCTCCTTACCTTTTACAAGGGCGTTAACCCCATTTCTAAACTAATAATAATTCTCTTCTGTGCTGCAAATATTCAACCACTGTGAAATACTATGTATAACATACACACAGTCAAGAATGTCGGTTGCCGTGAGATTCACGTTTCAATTAGCATTAACTAGCAGGCCCTTCCCTAAACAAAAACAAAACAAAATGCTTTCTTGGTCAGCTCTGAGCCTGGAGAGCAATTTTAACCCACATGCTTCAAGGGCCTCGCAACGTCCAGATGTAACACAATAACATCATTAATTTTCACTAAATTATATTTCTCAAAAGGCCACTATCAATTTGGGGGCAATACGGGAGAAGAAACTGCATATTCTTTATTCTGTAACCTTTCTATAATCTGGATAAGCTGGCAGCAGCGCCCTGAAACTCACTCGGCATGAGTTACGAGGGTATGTGATGGAATCAGGGCCCAGGCACCTCTCAATCATTTCAGCCCTCTATGCCCAGTATTTGTGACTCAGTGCCTTCCTGCATTGTGGGGTTAAACCGTACTTCCCCCTCCCTGTCCCTAGGTAGTACAATTCCTTAAAATAACAGCCAAGGTCCCCACAATTTATCGCCTTGTATCTTTCCAGCCTCCATTCCTCCGGACTCCAACTACATAGCTCACTCCCCACCATTCATCTTTTAAGAGACACATCATTTTCATCCTTCAAGTCCCTTTTGTGAAGTCTTCCCCAGAGACAGAATTTAATTTTCCATTGCCTGGCATGCCAAGTTTCTTAGATTCTACAGCTGCCGCCTAGTTATGCAACCCAGCTGCTATATATTGAAGTTAGCTGCATCTTTTCCCTCTGTACTGCAGCTCTTTCTAGAGCCTCCTTTTTCTCATCCTTGTATCTGCCACCGTCGAAGGAATGCAGTAACTGCTTATCCAATTAAAATTTCCTCCTTTTCTCCCAACTTTCTAAGGCATCCATAATAGCTCTCCATGAGATAGCTAAATAACACTACAGGGATTTGGAACATAGCGTGGTATGTAAACATTAGAAACCAAATAAGATGCTGAGTGAGCAAGGCCAGAGCAAGCTTTCAAATTTTAAACCAAGTTTTATTACATCACACTTCACTTTTAAAATACACCATGTTCCTCAAGTGTGTATGCATATAGGTACCAAAAAAAAAAATTAAAGAAAAGGGAGACAGGCCACACATCAAGCACAGATATTAAAATCGTGACCTCAAACTAAATCTCAGGTCTTGTTATTTGGACACTTTGAGCGTCCCAGTGAAAATGATACAGTATATTCCACTCAGGTTGCAACTTTCCTTACTAAGCATTTGAAATAAGATTCTCCTGCCTAAAAATCATGAACTTCAGACTGACTGTCACTATGTATCAAAAAGACTTAGCAAGTGAGAGTTTTACTTGCTTTGAATTTTCCAGTAGGTCTAACAGTCAGAACAGATTCAGTAAAACCTTGAGAAGTCTGTGGTAGAATCTTTTTTTAAATCAAATTACTTTTCGGAAAAGATTAGCTTCAAATAAAAACAGACGTTTCAAACTCAGGTGTTGAAAGGGCTGCCACTTACATTCCCATGTCTGGTAACTTTTCCCATCACTCACAGAGATTTCTGAGATCCACTGAGTGCCCTCAGCACTGAGCTGCAGCTCATCTCGAGAGACAACGATGCAAATGGGAAGTCGGCCAGGTCAGACTACAGACTCCAAGTCAATTTTAAGGTTAAGTAGCTCACCCACTTTAAATAATATGGGTAATGGAAGACTGACTGGGGTGGGGTAGGGTGGTATTATTGATGTCCTTGTGCAGGAGGAAAGAAAAAACAGGGGAGAACCGACTCCCAGCTCCAGGTTCTTCCCCCTCCAGGCATCTCCCACTGCTGCTTTTCCTCAACCCTCCTGGCCTTCCTGCCCTCCCCCTTACCTCCCAGACTAACAGTTGACACTTCCCTCTACTCTCTCCCTACTGTTCTAGCATGGGATAACCACCCTCCTGTTTGTAGTTATGTGGGGGGAGCTGGAAGGAACAGCAGAGATGATCAAACCCCTCCATTTTCCAGATGACTACACCAAGAAGGAGGACCAGCTGACCTAACCGGCTAAAGTCGCACCACTAGGGGACGTGGTGTGTCTGTGGGATCAGATTATGATAACCCAGTCCTCCTGCCTGGCCCCTCAGCCCGGCCTTCCTGCCACACACTACCTCTTTCTCTGGCTACTTGGCTTCTTTATCCTCAAATTAAATGGTATCAAGAAAAATGCAGTCTTAATAATGCTGATCGTTATTCACAATTTTGCTTTTGGGGCAAATATGCTCCGGCCTCCCCAGAATTGGAGAATCAAGGGCAGAAACAAATGGATGACATTATGCATGTGTGTGTTAATGCAATTTAATTCGGTCCAAATAACCATAATTTCAGTACACACTCTTTTTCCTTGGGGCTTACTACTCTTATTTGACAAGGGAATAGTTTCTTAGGAAAATGAACTTAGTTTTAAACCAGCACGGTCTCCCTCTAACCCGAATTGCAAGCTTTGAATAACAGACCTCCTGCTTCACAGTTATGTTTAGGCTGGGCAAACACTCAATGCAAATAGGTGAAAATCACGGACTGCTAAAGCCCGAAGGAATAGAGGATTTTGCTCTCATAACTGCAGTCACCTGTTTTCAAGATTCATGTTTGTAAATATGTATCTATTCCAATGGGAGACAACGCGTTCATAGTGAAACTTTAACAAGCCAGCGCTCACTGGAAACCCACATTTAGGAAACCTCCATAGATTTCAACAACAACAAAAAGAGAAGTAGCAGCAGAAAGCAGCAATCTCAGGCCCCAGACTGAAGGCAGCAACAAGTCCTGGATACCGTCATTCTTACACATCAAAGTCCAAATGGCAGCAAAGAAAAACAAGAATAAATGGTAAATCCATTCACAACAAACTAGTCCTGCGCACACGCGCGCGCGCACACACACACAACGAGCCCGTCTATTTCAAAACCACCAACTCAAAGCCAGGTCCCTCCCTTGCCTTAGATTCCCCAGTTACTTGATAAACGTGTTTGTTAGACGTCCGGACAGAAACTTAAGTTTAAAGTCCTCAGGCGGGGAGAGACCGCTGCGTGGCCGGTGAGAAGCAAGTGGTGCGGAAGGTCGGCGCTGCGGGTCGCGGGGACCCCCGGCGGTCCACGTCCACCGGGACGCGCCTTGGAGGTAATGTTGAGCGCCTCCCGCCTGCCAGCTCGGGCCCCCACCCAGACCCAGGTAACCGGAGACCACCTACGTGTCACTTGGGCGGGTCCCGGCCGCTGGCACGGGGCACAGCGTGGGCCCCGGGGAGCGCTGACCCGGTTGGGGGACGGGAGGGCCGGCGGCCCGGGCGGCTGCGGCCACTTCCCTCCCGGGGCTCGATCAACTGGTTGGCAGGGGAGGCCAGGAGCGCCTCGCCTCCTGCAGGTCGGCCCGCGAGCACGCACACCCACCCACACCCGGCACAGGCGCGCGCGTACACACACAGACACACACACACACACACAGCCACAAAGCCCGTCTGCCGCAGGACAGCGCGCCGTTTGGCGGCGGAAGGGACCCGGCGAAAGCTGGCTCCGCGCTCAGAAGGCACCGTCCCCTCGCGCCACCCCGCGCCGCGCCAGTCCCTTTACCTGCGCCCGTCGCCGCCGCGCGTCCGGCTCCCGCCGCCCCCGGGCTGGCTTCAGGCTGCGCGGTCAATCCCCGCAGCCCCCGCCCCGCGGCCCGCCGAGCCCGGCCCTCCGCCCGCCCCTCGGCCGTCGCCCGGAGCGGGGCCGCCCCCTGCGCCCACCCCGCCGGGGTCCCGCGCGCGCGGCCGGGAGGCCGGGGAGGGCTCGGCGGCGCCGCGGCCCAGGCCGCCCGAGATCCCGGCAGGCTCCGCTGGGGGACAGGGGCGTCGCGGCTCCGGGAGCGTCAGCCGCCGCTCGGCCCCGACTGCTCCGGCTTTGGCGCGCTGGCAGGGCGGCGGGGGAGGGGGGCGCCGAGGGAGGGCCGCGGGAGCAGGGCGGACGCCTGCCCCCTTCTTCCTCCGCCTTCTTTCTTTTCTGCAGGCTCCACGTAGCACAAGTCAGCAACTCCCCCCCCCCCCCCACGCCCCCCCCCTGGCTCATTCCCTTACCTGGCGCGACGCCCCCAGAGCCCCTACCCTCTGTGCTCCTCCTCCCCCATCCAGTTGCCGGACGCCCCGCCGGCGGGGGCGGAGGGTAGCCCAAGCCTCCCATTCATCATCTTCCCACCGCCCCCCACCCGGATCGGACCCACCCGCGTCTGGAGACCCACGGCCTCCAGCTCCGGATCTCCATCCCCACCCGCTCCCGCGCTCACCTCTGCGACCGACAACTTGCGGGGCTCGGGCGGCCTCTCCTACACGTTGCATTTTCATTTCGTCGCTCTTCTCTCCCCACTTGAAAAGCTCTGGAAGACATCGCAGGGCCCGCAAAATCCCCGATGTCTGGCCTCTCTCGTAGTTCCGTTTCCAAACTTTCCCGGAGGCACGGAGTTTCTCCCAGTGCAGCCTTCAAGTCGAGGCTGCAAAGAACGCAGAGTCAATTTTGCTGCCGGAAAGGTGCACACGTTTCCATTTCTGAGTTTTCGATTGCCTGGCTCTGCAGACCAAAGCAAGCGTGACTGTGTTCCCCTAGTTCTCCATATCCATGATTATAAATTTCTCTTCCGCTTTCCCAGTGTAACTTTGCAAGTGCAAACTATCAATTTTAGAAGAGTAATTAAGGGCGGGGAATACACACCTGGAGGTGTGGTTGGGAGCGGCGCAGGACTAAGGCCTGGGGATGGTTCTCGGGAAAGTGGCGGGCACAGAGATTCGCCCAGGTTCTGGAACAACACCCGGTCCACCGGGGGCTCTCCAGCCGCGCCACCCCCTACCCACCTCCCACCCTTGGCTTCCTGGAGTGTTGGCAATTCGCTGCCTCTAGCTCCACTGCTAAAGCCGCGACACAACAAAAGTAGCAGCTTACAAGTAAAAACTGGGCAAACTCTAAACGGCACGTGGGGTCTACGACAGCAGTATGTCAGGGAACTTGGCAGGACTGATACAAGTACATATAAGAAAGAAACGCAGAACCAGGAGGGAGGGCGGCGTTGGTGGCAGTCACTCGGTAACCTTGGGCTTCGCAGAAATGAGAGGTCACCGGAAACCGCACAGGGCGGGGAGGGGAAGAATTCTTGGTGGGGATGGAAACGTCTTAAGCTTCCAGTGAGGTCTGCCTCGAAGAGAACGTGACCGTCGCCCGCAAGTGACTGTTTCGAACCTTGATTGAGTTCGTCTTGCGGTTTTCACAGGGCGCTCAAAGCTAAACCCTGACTGCTCATCCATTACTCTCAAGCTGTTTCCTTTTTCAAACAATGTAGCAAATCCCCTTTGTTAAAAAATCAGCCTTAAAGAACTCTGCTTCCTCTCCTTTCCTACCAATTTATCATTTATTTTATAATAATCCATTAAAATGTGAAAAAATAGAAATTTTAATACATGCACGGTGCTAATATGTTCATTTACAGCATGCAGAAATGCATATAAAAACTCTTATCGCAAAAATAATGAGAGCTGATCTTAAACTCTAAAGAAAGATACCAGGACAAATAGGAAAATGTCCACTATATAATCTAAATATAATAAAAAGCATATATTGGTAAGAAAAGAAAGACTATACTGAAAGGGACTTTTGTTTTGCACCATAGCTCTACCCACCTCAGAAAAATCACTTAGCTCATTTTCCTGTCTTCTTTCTACTACACGCTCTTTGTATTTACTGTTGGGTTTCTCAATACCAAAACTTCTATATCTAGTAAAAAGAATATTTTAAAATTTTATTTAAAATAATTATTATATTAACTATAGCAATAAATAGTATCAAATAATTAATTTACAAATTAATTATTTCAATCTTTCACCCTTCCTCATAAATCAAAGACAAAGTGCAAATGAGTTTCTTGCCTACCACTCAGCTTGAATGTTTTCCCAGGATACTGATTTTACCTCTTACCATATTAAGGAATATGGCTGCTTCTGCTTTGACTATATATTAACTGCCTTAACTACTCTGTGATCCTTTCTAACATCAAATGAGGAGTTCTGTCCACGCAAGACGTGACATGTATTCAAGAGTTCCAAGTTATTTGCTTTAAAAAAACTTTCTTTCCTCTTTATTTGTCCTACCATGGCCTAGAATGAATTGGAGAGCAAAGTACAAGGTCAGCCTGGACAGACCTGTCTCCCTGACACATGCGGACCTGTCTGAATGAGACTGCTCTTCACCCAGTTTTTGTTTAATAACTTCAAAATCAACTGCAGGCTGTATGCCCAGTGTAAAAGGAGAGAGAAAATGAAATCCAATACAGAATCCAGTTCAGCACAGAGATTAATCCATCAAAACTAGTATTGTGTTCCAAACGAGCCAGTTTTCTCATCTGTAAAATGGGATAATAATACTAATAAAGTCTATTTTATCAGGTTCCAGGTTGCCTTTAATAAAGTAAGATAATATCTTTGAGCAGGCTTCTTCAAACCCAACAGTAGGTGATGTTATTTCAATAGAGATGCAGAAAGATAGCTCGATATACTTTCTTTAATGTTTTTATCTGTCTGTGGCCCTCTTGCCTATCAAACTGATTCCATTTCTTGGATAGTCATCTTAATGCTTTCTGTCCTAACCTTTCTCTCTTATCCTCTGCCAAGCAATGTTTCTCTAGATCTGTTTCTTCAAATGACTTCACCAGAGCCAGAGGCCCAAAGATAGCTGGTGCTGTCAAACGTGAGAAAAAATATTTTCAGCAAAATGAAGAGAATTTGAATGAGGAGTATTTCAAGTACAGTTTACATTAATATCTTGATAACTGTAGACTTTGTCAGATTATTGCTGTTATCTAGTGGTCCAAGGACTATAATGTGCAGAGCATTTAGGATTGGAACATTGGCTGTCACTACTTTTGGCTCTGTTATTTGTTCAGAAGGGTTTGCTGGTCATGCCAGTTCCCTCTGCCTTCCCACATTCCCTTCCGTCTGGCAAAAAGCCTTTGAAATTTTCTACTAGAGAGCAGTCAAACCTATCAGCAAAAAGATCTGTTGGAAACTTTCCCTCCAGTCTGTTAATGTAGAGACTGATGCAGAGAATGTATTCCGGTGAAACAATACCCTGAGAGAATTCAGCCTGCTTGGGAAAATTTTTCAGGTGCCTCTCAGGCAGAGGTTTCTTCCTTGTTAAAATGGGGTATTTATGCCTCGCTGCTGTTATTCCCCTTGACTAGAAAGAAATCATTCTCCTTAGGAAACGCGTCTATTTTAAAAGGCCAGTGGCAGAGGTGGGTGAGGTCAGCCCAATGTAGTAAAACTAAAATAGCATAAAATAAAATAACACTCTTCAGGGTAGAAGTGACATAAAGAGACTCTAGGAACAGAGAGTAGAAGATGGGATTGTGTGGGCAGCAGCCCTGTATGAGGACCAGACTACAATGAAATGAAAGCCCTAAGTACACTGACTATTTGCTCACCTTTTTCTTATCAGCTATTTCTGCATGAATAATCTGGGTAGTGTCTGAAGTAGATCAAGGGTGAGCAAATCCTTTTCCTGTAGTTTCCCTCACCCAAATAAAAAGCCTTTGATCTAAAACAGAAGGGGAGGGGGGAAGAAAATGAAGAAAAAAAATATATGTGTGTTATATGTATAATTTTAGAGCTAAAAATAGACCTAAATATCCAAAAACTCATAGAAAGGGTCACAAAACAAAAAGTTCTATAAAACAATAATAAAATTGGTAAATTTCTAGTAAGACTGATACTGAGGAAAGAGAGAAAAGAAACAAGACTATGAATGAAATTATAATTATAGTTTCGAGACTTTTTTCTAATACTAACAGAATGTTGTGAACATTTTTAAAACTTAGCTGAAATAGATACTTTCTAATAAGATGCAAATTACAAAACGTTATTGAGTCAAACAAATTAAAAACATGAATATATTTGTAACTATTGAATAAATTAAATTCATATTTCTAAATCTACCTACAAAAAGGGTCAAAAATTTGGTGGCAAAGATTTACCAAATCTTCATAGGTAATCTCTATTCAAATGATTTCAGAGAAAAAGAAGGAAAGCACCCCAATTATTTTATGAGCTAATAAAATCTTGATGCCAAGATCAGACATTAAAATAGAAAGGAAGGGCCTCCCTGGTGGCGCAGTGGTTGGGAGTCCACCTGCCGATGCAGGGGACACGGGTTTGTGCCCCGGTCCGGGAAGATCCCACATGCCGGGGAGCGGCTGGGCCCGTGAGCCATGGCCACTGACCCTGCGCGTCCGGAGCCTGTGCTCCGCAACGGGAGAGGCCACAACAGTGAGAGGCCCACGTACCGCAAAAAAAACAAAACAAAAAACAAACAAAAAAAAAATAGAAAGGAAAATTCTAGACCAATCTCAAAAGGAATAAAAAATTTTATTCTTACATATAATCAAACCAAGTTCAGCAATGTGTTTTTAAAAAATACATCACAAGCACAAATACATCACAAAAATACATCACATATGGCTGATACCATAATGTAAGAATGGCTTCATATTAGAAAATGT